TAAATTGAAACCCGTATATGACGGTCGTAGTGAAGTTTTAAAGCACGGTGCGGATCTGTCGGGTACCATGCGTTTGATCCTTAACGAAAATCATTTTGACGTAATACTGAACATGACTGGCGCTACCGCGATGAAAAAATTTTGTTACGCCTGTCGGACCACTTATAACAGAGAACACAGATGCGAGGGAACGTGTCTATTGTGTCGAGCATCCCCTGCTTGTAATAATAAGATGTTAGGTGTTAAATGTTTGAAATCTCGGCGTACATTTCATGGTAACGATTGTCTCGCTAATCACCTCAAACGAAACTCATATGCTAAGTCAAAATCTATATGTGATGCAATAAAAAAATGTGAGTATTGTGGAATATCAATCATGACTAAGAAAAGGCTTAAGCATAGATGTTACGAACGCTTTTGTCATACGTGTCGTATTAATAGGCCGCTGAGGCATTGGTGTTACATAGCACCTCTAAAGAAAAATATTCAATTAGCCAAGCAAAAAGAAAACACACCTGTAAAAGAAAATGTTTTTGTATTTTACGATTTTGAAACGATACAGGTTCGCGAGCAGATGGGAAACCCGGATGTTAAAGTTCACGATGTTAATCTTTGTGTAGTTCAAAAAGTATGTGAAAAGTGTATGTACAATAATGACATGTCCTACCTCTGTAGTTATTGCGGTATTCGTCAATTCGTTTTTGATCATGAACCCTTAAAACAGTTTATAAATCTCGTTATAGATATGAAAGATTTCAAACAGGTGATATGTATAGCACACAATGCTCGGGGGTTTGATGCTCAATTTGTACTGAAATATATTGTAGAGACACTGAAAATAACTCCACAGATTATATTGAACGGTACTAATATCCTTGAGATTTCTTTTGAAAAAGTTAGATTCTTAGATTCTTTATGTTACCTAAGTATGCCGCTATCCGGATTTTCAAAAACTTTCAATCTCCCTAGCTCGTTAGTCAAAGGATATTTTCCTCATCTATTTAACAGACCTGAAAATCAACACTACGTCGGGCCACTACCAGACATATTGTTTTATTCCCCTGATACGATGAAGATTGTAGATCGTGCAAAATTTTTTACCTGGTACGATGAACTTGTCAAAACCGAATACGTGTTTGATTTTGCTGCCGAGATTAAACGATATTGTATATCGGATGTGAATCTTTTGAGACAGGGTTGTTTATCTTTTCGTAAGATGTTTCTGGAGATCACTGAAATTTGCCCGTTTGCGAAAGCTGTAACCATCGCATCCGCATGTAGTGTTGTTTACAGAACTAACTTTTTAAAACAAGACAGTATCGGTATTATCCCCAAAAGTGGTTACAGAGGATTTGATAACCAGTCGATCATTGCATTAGAATGGTTTGCGTGGATTGAGCATGAACGCGGATATCGCATAGAGCACGCAGGTCGTGGTGCTGAAAAGGTATTACCCGGTGGCTTGAAGGTAGATGGATATTATGAAACAGATAGTGGAAAAACAGTATTTGAATTCTACGGTTGTTGGTTTCACGGTTGTCCCAAATGCTATCCTAGCGATCGGGATAATGCAAACATTGTTAATGATGTGTGGTTAACTCTGAATGAGCGATATGAACGCACCATGTTAAAGTCATCACGCATTAGAACATTAGGTTATCATTTAGAAGAAATCTGGGAACATGAATACCGTCATTTACGAGCCGCGGATAACAAGTGTAAAAACTTTATCGAACACTCGGTGCCACCAGTTTTAAAAAAGAGTCGCCTCGCTCCGAGGCATGCGTTCTACGGGGGTCGCACTGGTAACACTCGAACGTACTATAAGATTAACGAGGGAGAACAGATTCGATACCTCGATGTTACTTCGCTCTATCCCACTGTAAATAAATACGACAAGTTCCCCGTGGGACATCCTGTAGTGTATATAGATGAGGAGTGTAAACAGGTTACAGGCGATGATAATGACATATCAAAAGTTGAAGGACTGATAAAATGTACAGTTTTACCACCGAGAAATTTGTATCATCCTGTTTTACCTGTAAGAATGCATGGTAAACTAATGTTTGCGCTATGTCGTTCTTGTTGTGATGAGTTACATCAGAATCTTTGTACACATGAAAATTCGGAAGATAGGACTTTTACAGTTACGTGGGTTTCTGTTGAACTTCAAAAAGCAGTCGGTATGGGTTATATCATCACGAAAATTGAAGAAATATGGCAATACGAGATTAGCCAGTAGGACCCTAGTACACGTATAGGTGGTTTGTTTGTCAATTATATTGATACATTCTTAAAGGTAAAACAGGAATCTTCGGGTTGGCCTATAGCGTGCATCGATGAGGAGAGCAAACAGAAGTATCTAGATGATTACAAAAAGGCTGAAGGAATTACACTCGAACGTGAGCGCGTAGCGTAAAACTCAGGACTGCGAGCCGTTGCAAAATTATGTCTAAATTCATTCTGGGGAAAATTTGGTCAACGTGAGAATCAACCAAAAACAATGATTGTAACCGATGGCAAAACATTCCTCGAGACAGTTAGCGATCCTAAAAAAGAGATACTTAGTGTTCTCTCGGTAAGCGATGATGTGGTATATATTAACTGGTGTAACGTAGATGATACTATCGAACCCTCGAGAATTACGAACGTTGTGATTGCCGCGTACATAACAGCTCAGGCTAGACTACGACTGTATGCTCTTCTTGAGAAGATTGATAGACAATGCTTGTATTACGATACGGATAGTATCATTTTCATTCGATCGGACACTCCTGATTTTAAAGATTTAGAAACAGGGACGAATTTAGGGGATTTAACCGATGAATTAGAACATTACGGAGAAGGTAGCTATATAAGCGAGTTTGCATCGTGTGGTCCCAAGTGCTATGCGTACAAAGTCGAAACCCCTAAAGGTGTTACCGATTATATTTGTAAAGTTAAAGGTATTAGTCTTAACTATGCAAATACGGAAAGCATAAACTTTGACACATTAAAATCTTTTGCAACTACTGGTATCGCGCCCGAAGGAGACGAAGAGATGGTTCTTTCTTATAAATCCTTAAGACGAACCCCAATGCACAATGTCATTACACGAAACGAAACAAAAACGTTTAAGAATAATTTTGTGAAGCGACGATTAGTTGATAACTACAATTCAGTACCATACGGTATGTTGTAAATTTATGTAATTTTAGACTATGGTAATGTGCTACGACTATTTACAATTTTAAGGAATAATAAAAAGTAAATAAAGTGTTCATAGTCTTTAACGTTTTCCTTCTTAAACTGGGCGTGCACGATTTTTCCCAAAACAGTTATCTAAAACTGTACCAGCCCCAAAAACCCTAGGACCTATTGAATCACCCCATTGTGCAATAATAAGGAAAAGGCTTGTGGGTCTGTGGAAGGGATGGTCACATTTTTTGACCACTGTGTGGTAGGGGTAGTTCATCCTTTTTTATAAATAGTGGATAGAAATGGTACAGCACTTCAGTACTAGTTACAAACACCGCAGAGTGGCTGCATCTAAAATTAACGAAACAGCTATATAATGGAGCAAGAATTAAAAAAAAATTTACGCTACCATCCAGTAACATCTCTCCTCAGGGAGCTGATGTGTCAAGAGTTTCATAGGCCAAACGATCCTGGTCGAGATTCGAGGGTGTTACGCAGGATTTTTGAAAACGCGAAGATACCAAAAATAGGCCTTATGCCACGACGTGTTAAAAATTCCTGGTGAAGATAACGATAGGCGAGTACGAGTGATCAGAAGCCGTGGTAAGTGGTGCTCAAGTGGTAGCTAGTGTACTTCTATTTCTCTGTCTAATAAAATTCGTACTAACGTCATAAATTTATTCATTGCTATTAAAACAAAATCAGGTGTCAATATTAAGACAATAGCCCTCGTTCATGAGGAACCGGCATTGCCATTAGTATCGGCACCATCACCGTCACCTCCATCGCCATCACCATCATCATCATCATCATCATCGTCATCGTCATCGTCACCACCATCACCACCACCACCACAACAATCATCATCATCACCACCATCACTACCAGCACCGGCATTATTTACACCTCAACCACAACGAGGTGTGAAAAGACTCTACAGCACCTGGTGATTGGGGATAGTACAGGCCTGCCGTGAGGTGTGTATTTTTCGCTGTAGACTCATAGTTTAAAGTATTCTCAATGTATGCTCTGTATGGGTATGTGTTACTTTTTGGTGATACCAGTTTTTGATTAAAAAATACGCTTCTATAGCTATATTATATTTTGTATTAACAAGAATTTCATTTAATACTTATTATTCCTGTTTATAGTAAAAAAATCCTGCAATCAGGACGAGTTTACTATTATGCGCCAGAAGCTGGATACTGTATGCGCCCAACTTACGGCGCTGCAAGATAAATTTTTCCAGCCGCCGGTCATAACAATATATGACGATGAGGCAATAATAAAAACGGAACCGGCGTTGCCACCGCTTCCTCTATACCCTGAAAGTGACATGCTTCTAATGTCTCCGGAGGTAGAGGAGGCATTAGAAAATTTGTTGTCGTGCTGGGAGTCTCCTGACCCCATTGAGAAACGCCAGGCAAAGTAGTTCACGCGTGTAGCAATGCGCTAAGTCAGAACTAAAGGCGGGCTGGCAACCAATGCACAGCGCGATGCGCTCTATGACTCATAGGGACAGTGGTGGGGGTTTGTTATGACTCCCATAAGTGGTGTGTATCTACTTAGGGGCATTATCGGAAAGTGATGAAACTGGTTTATAATGTATCCAATTGCCACTCTCAATAGACGTCTGCGTAGGTGGTATTTTAAAAAGATCCAGTTCTGTCTTTACACATTCGCCTGAATGCGAATGTAGGAACGACATTTCTACTTTTGCAATTATTCAAAAATATCTCGAGTTTTCTTAATAGTTTTTTTTTTGAAAGTATTCTTTTTCTTGTTTAATGTTTTAGACTGCTTCTTCTTTTTAGTAATTTTATTTTTTGAATTACCTCCTGTAGTGAAACGTCTTCCCGGAGGTACGGTAACAAACTGACCGTTCCGCTTTCGAGGTAATGATTTATAACCAGAACCTTTCATCAGATCATCAAGTTTTTCTACCGCTTTTCGTTTTAAATTTACTTTTGATTCTTTAAACCTGTTACGTAACGCATCACGGAAAGGCGTCTTATTTTCGACATCGCTCACGACTCTAAGTCCTGCGTGAAGAGCCTCTTTTCTTACGGCTTTAAACCCCTTAGTAATCAGGGGCTACGCCTGTCTAAATAATCGAGCTATAAACGATCCTAAACCATGACCCCTTTGGTAAGAAGCACCAGTGTATACAACGTCTACCCTACCGCCTACCTGGTTCAGGTAATATTCCTCATAAGCGTTCATAATGTCTTCAATTGTTGTGACGACGTCGAAAATGTAATGTAACCGTCAGTGTACCGTATTCAAATGGCACTGGCCTACCAGCGTGATCGCTTATAACAGTTTCGAGTGATTGAATTGGACCACCAATTATCGGGTAGTAATGAGGCATGGCGAAAGTCTTAGACTGGGTACTCCGAAAAGGATGTGTTTGAGCGTCACATTCGACAATGCGTAAGAGTGGACCATGAATATCGCTGACTACATGGGGAAGAATGATGTCTTAATA